GCCATTGCAGCCATTCGGGGAGTGAATCAACAGATAGAAGACCTCTCTCTCTCTCTCTCTCTCTCTCTCTGCCTCTGCCTCTCTGTAACTCTTTCAAATAAATAAATCTTAAAAAAAAAAAAAAAAGAAGTGGGTCATTTGGCAATTTCCTCATTGTGCAACATCATGGAGGGTGCTTACACACACGATGACCATGACGACACCAAGCGATACACTCATTTGGGCCACTGTTGTATACGCAGCTTGTCATTGGCTTAAACATCATTATGCAGTGCATGACATCTTTTAAAACATTTATTTATTTCAATCCATTTGAAAGCAGAGAGAGAAAGTGAGAGACAACTTGCATCCATTGGCTCATTACCCAGATGTCATCATCAAGGGCTGGGCCAGGCTGAAGCCAGGAGCCCAGAACTCCACCTGGATCCCCGACGTGGGTGGTAGGGGCTTAAGTACTTGGGCCATGATCTGTTGCCTCAGAAGCAGACAGGACTCAAACTGGCCCTCTGAGAGGGGCTGCAGACGCAGCACGTGGAGTTGTGATCCCCTGAGCCACAACACCCGCCCAGAGTATACAACCATTCTTAAAAGCCAGCTACTTAGATGAAAATACTAAAGAAATGAAGATACAAGACGGGATATGGAAAGGGCAAAAATCACATAGGTTGAGCTCAGGTGACCAATATTCAGAGACAATGCTGATGGCACTGAGACTCCCCCAAATTCTGAGTCCAGGAGGGTGGGGACAAATTTGGGTGTTGGGAGACAACTAAAAGGGAAGGGAGAGACCAGGTGTGTGGGGCCTGGTCAGCAGAGCCAGTCCAGGAGGAAAGTGAGGCAGGTGTGCCTTGGCAAGGTGGCTTTGGGACAAGGCGCTGGGGGGACAGACAGCAGGGAGTGTGAGCCGTGCGCGGCAGAGGGGAAGCTGCCTTTGCCTCTGTCCTGCGAATGGCAGCAGCGTCTGGGCGGGCAGCTGTCACTCAGATGCAGACACCTCGCGTCTCCCGCCAGACTGGGGGCTCCTTAGGAACAATGTTCCCGTCCCCTACCCTTTTCCCACTGCCAGGAGCCTGCAGGATGATCTAGCTATGTGACCCATCAGCTGACAAGTCCAGCTCTCAGAGGATAGTGACCAACCTCCCAGGTGGCCTGCACGGAGTGGTTTCCCATGGCAGGAGACTGTTGGCGCTAACCTGGGGCAGTCCTGCGCATGCCGTGACGAGCGGTCACCCTACCTCAGACTGTCCTTGCAGGGCAGGAACCTGGGCCAGCAGCTCACGCCTACACGGGCAGAGCCATCCGCCTGGGAGCCAGCCGCCACCTTTCTCAGATGGCAGTGACCCTTGTCCTTTCTGAGAAAACACGCTTTACCTTGGTCAGAAGCCTCCTGGCCACACCCGGAATTTTGGCTTTTACTCAAGTTCAAGAATTCAAAGGCTGGGCCAGTATCGTGGCACGGCAGCCTGCAATGCTGGCATTCCATGTGGGCACTGGCTTGAGACCTGGCTGCTCCACCTTTGATCCAGCTCCTTGCTAATGCACCTGGGAAAGCAAACAGAAGCCGGCCCAAGTGCTTGGGCCCCTGCCATCCACATGGGAGACCCAGATGGAGTTCCAGGTTCCTGGCTTCCACCTGGCCCAGGCCTGGCTATTGCAACCATAGATAGAACATCTCTCTCTCTCTGACTCTGCCCCTCTCTGTAACTCTGCCTTTCAAATAAATAAATAGTAAAAAAAAAAAAAAAAAAAAGCGTGAGAGAATTCAAAGTCCAAAGGTCCCAAAGATGCCTCCCTAAGGCTTGGGAACGGTTCTCGAAGGAAAACCTTCTGCCCTGACGTTCAGGACCCAACCAGAGGAATTCCACCCCATCCTTGCACCTCTAGCTTCCCTGGTACCCACAGGCTCGCCTCATACGCCAGCCGACACGGCCAGCTCAGTGGCTCCATTCCTGCCCCTCCTCCTTCCCAGTCCTGCCTCTTCCCTCAGTCCCACCTGCCCAGAGGGCTCTCTCCACACATCCGTCCTGTGCCGAATTCCACCCGAGCTGCAAGGCCTGGCTCAGGCATCTCCAGTGGCCTCCCCACGTCCTCCAGGCAGGAGATGCTCCTTGTCTCACTCCTGCTGGTCGGTCGGGTCCTCCATCCCGGCTGACCCAGACTGCAGACCTCCAGAGGGCAGGCTCTACATCGGATCCGTTTTTTACCTCCTCCTCTTTCCCTCAGAATTAACATGCAAACGAGCGAGCAAACACGGATGCTCCTGGCTGGGAGCAGTTCCTACTGTCTTTCCATCCTTCCCCTCGGGACAGCAGGCAGGGCCTTCACGCAGACCCTGCGGTTCTTCACTCACTCACCCACCCGCGAGGCCGCATCACTGAGCCATGCGAGGGCGACAGGTGGACAGGCACTCACGTCCCACGCCCTCACAGCCCAGCAGAAAGGACAGTCGCACAATGGGGACAGGGAGGAAGGAGAGGACGCTCCGGGGGTGCCCGGTTGGGGGGTGGGGTTCCCAGAGCACAGGACAGCAGAGACAAGGATGAAGGGGGTGCGTCCCTGCTCCCATCTCAGAAGACAAACTTGGGGCCAGCATGTGGTGCAGTGGGCTCAGCAGAGCCTGCTCGCCAGCCTCCCATGTGAGCAGCGCTTTGAGTTCTGGCTGCTCTGGTTCAGAGCCAGCTCCCTGGGAAGGCAGAAGATGGCCTAGGTACTTGGGCTCCTGCCACCCACACAGGAGATCTGGACGGAGCTCCTGGCTCCGGAATGGCCCGGCCCCAGCCGCTGTAGCCATTTGGGGAATGGACCAATGGGCACAATATCTCTTTCTCTCTTGGTCCTTCTCTTTATGTCTTTCAAATAAATGAATCTTTAAAAAAAAGAAGGAAGGAAGGAAATAAAGGAAAGGAAAGGGGGAGAGAGGGGAGGAGAGGGGAGGAGAGGGGAGGGGAGGGGAGGGGAGGGGAGGGGAGGAGAAAAGAAAAAGAAAAAAGAAAAAAGACGACGACAAAGCTGAGGGGTCTGGGAGAAGGCACACTCACTCCATCTCTGCTCCCCCTGGCTGAGCAGTCTGCTGCCCGGGTTAACAGGGCCACCTTCACCAGGATGCTGTGAAGATTTGTGTGCTAACGGACGCAAAGCACTCAGCACATGCCAACCACTCCCCAAACACGGGGATTACAGCTGTGGGTATTACCCGAGCCCACAGGAGGCCAGACCTGCCCGGCTGAGCAGGACAGTAATCCTGCCTCATGATTAGCCCCGACCTTCAGAGGTGGGGGACAGGCTGCCACCGAGCCTCCCCAGCCGCCGGCACACAGGCCCAGGGCCGCGGAAGGAGCTGCACCCGGGAGGCAGGCGGAGGGCAGAGGGGAAGCTGGATGGCGCTGCGGAAGGCAGCGAGGATGGGCGTGGCTGAGCGGGCCTGGGCAGGAGCGTGAGACAAAGAACAAAGCTCAGAGAAGGCCCTGGAGCTGCTCCAGGGACCCAGGGAAAGGCTTTGCGGAGGAGGGTGCGGCAGGGCCTGACATTCACGCGCCAGCAGACCTCCTGAGGGCCCCGCGTGCAGCCACGCTGTTAGGGGAAGGAGCCAGCCACGGGGCGGAAACCCCGGCGTGTGCAAACACTGGGCGTCACTCCTCAGCAGGAAGGGGCTGGGGTGGAGCGAGCCGAGACCAAGGCCGGCTCTAGTGCCCAGCCACCGGGGGAGCCAGGTGGCACCTGCCTGCGAGGAACCAGGGCCCAGCTCGGCTGCAGGGAGCCCAGAGGCTTTCCGGCTCACTGGAACGTCCTGCTGTTCCTCAGATGCACCCAGCCTGCTGGCAGCTCCGGGCTCCTGCCTTTCCTCTTTCCAGGTCGTCAGATTCCCACGCCATCCAGGTCTCCCAGAGGCCTCCTCTGCCACCTCGCGAGAACCAGCTGGCAGCCCCACGCCCACTGTAGTGGTCCCCAGGTCCCTGTCGCCTCCACCCCCACTTCTTAAGGCCTGGGCTCAGCAGATCCTGCTTGGCAAGATGTCCGCTGAGCGCCCTGTTTAAAGCCACAACATCCTCCTCCAGTCCCCCCCTTCTCTGACACCTTCTCTGTTTAATGATTTGTTTGGAGTCTGTTGCTGTGGTGTAGTGGGTAAAGCCGTCGCCTGCAGTGCCGGCATCCCATATGGGCGCCAGTTCAAGTCCCAGCTGCTCCACTTCCGATCCAGCTCTCTGCTATGGCCTGGGGAAGCAGAAGATGGCCCAAGTGCTTGGGCTCCTGCACCCACGTGGGAGACCCAGATGAAGCTCCTGGCTCCAGATCGGCGTAGCTCTGGCTATTGCAGCCAGCTGGGAAGTGAACCAGTTGGATTGAAGAATCTCTCTCTCTCTCTGCCTCTCCTTCTCTCTGTGTAACTCTGATTTTCAAATAAATAAATAAATCTTAAAAATCTAAAAAAAAATGATTTGTTTGTTCGCCATCTTCTTCCTCACAGGGAGATGTCGCCTCCAAGAGGCATGGGTGACTGTCAGTTCTGTTTACTACAGAATCTAGAGAAGTGCCTGGTACACAGTAGGGGCTCAATAAATGTTTGATGAGAGAAATGAATAAGCATAAGTTTTAGAGCCGGGGCACTGGCCAGACTGCCTGGGGTCTCACCCCAACTCTTCCACTTACTGTGTGATCTTGGGCCATTTAACCTCTCTGTGTCTCAACTGAATTAAACGGTACAAGGAGAATCACAACTAACCTACCTCATAGGATTATTAGGGGATTAAGAAAGATCCTGCAAATAAAGAGCTTAAAACAGTGCCGGGCCCCCGGAAGGCCCTCTGTTCCCCGCTGGCCGCCACCACAGCCTTTGCTCGCTGGCATTTCTGGCTTAGGCGCTTGCTCACTTGTTCACCCTCTGTCTCCTGCTAGCCAGAGGCTGCCCGTCTGCCTTGCTCGCTCCACGCAGTCAGGAGAGAGCACCAGGCCTCCTCCTGAGCCAGGGAACCTGCAGCTTGGGCTGGGGGCCCGTGCCTCACCGATCTGCTTCTCCAGGGCAGCCGCTTCACAGACGGTGGCCCGGGGCAGGATCCCGGGGTCGGTGAAGCTCGTCTGCAGCAGGCAGCTCATGACGAAGAAGAAGAGGATGGCGGCGATGATGGGGATGGCGAGAGTCAGCTCACAGGCCAGGAAGGGACAGCTGGAACGAGAGGGCGGGGGAGGTCAGCAGATCCGGAGGGCTGCCTGGAGCACCGGGCCACAGCACCAGCAAGTGCTGCTGCCTCTCCCTGAGGCAGGTACGGCCCTTGGGGAACGCGGCCACTCTCCCTACAAGCGCCCACAGCCCAGATAACCACCTGATCCTGCACCTTCCCCTGCAGCACAGGCAGGTGTAACCAATAGGCCCTAGCACCGACCCCTGCGCTGAGCTGCATCCTCACGGTCCTTCTAAACCCAGAGCCTCAGATGCCCGCTGTGGCACGAGTGACCATCATTCCAGAGCAAACCGTTCATCCAGTGGGTCAGTCACGCACTCCACAAACATTCACTGAGGTCGTCACCTTCACCAAGCAGCAGGAGCAAGGCAATGACCAAGACGGGCGCCCTGCCCCCACGCAGCTTGCCAGACAGGGAGACGGGGAACCGCCACACAGGGGGCCGCATGCCTGCAGGAGATGCCACCTAAGCCAGAGGCCGCAGAAGGGGCAGAGGGTCTGAAGACAGCTCGGACCAGCTGCTGCCCCTGTCACCCACGGGATGGCATCCCAGCCCCTGGCCCTGGTGGCTGGGAGAACACCTCCTCTACCGCCAGACAGGCTGCCTGCCACAGGGTCCCACAGCCCTGTCCAAGGCCCCTCCTCCATCGTAGGGCAGGAACCTTCTCCATGCCAGGGATGCCAGGTGGGGTGGGGGGCACTGCTTCACGACAGAGTGAACCCATCCGGGCTCTCTGCTGTCTACCCCGAAGCCAGAGCCAGCTTTTGAGAGTGTCATTTCTCTGCTTAAAACCGTCCAACAGCTTCCTGCCACATTTTAAACAAAACCCACACTGCTGGGGCCGGCGCCGCGGCTCACTAGGCTAATCCTCCGCCTTGTGGCGCCGGCACACCGGGTTCTAGTCCCGGTCGGGGCGCCGGATTCTGTCCCGGTTGCCCCTCTTCCAGGCCAGCTCTCTGCTGTGGCCAGGGAGTGCAGTGGAGGATGGCCCAGGTGCTTGGGCTCTGCACCCCATGGGAGACCAGGAAAAGCACCTGGCTCCTGCCATCGGATCAGCGCGGTGCGCCGGCTGCAGCGCACTGGCCGTGGCGGCCATTGGAGGGTGAACCAACGGCAAAAGGAAGACCTTTCTCTCTGTCTCTCTCTCTCACTGTCCACTCTGCCTGTCAAAAAAAAAAAAAAAAACCACACTGCTGGCCACAGCATTCTGCACCCCACTGAAGGCTCCTCTAGCCTCATCCACGGAACTCTCCCCCCGCCCCCCCCATGCCCATCCACGGAACTCTCCCCCCATCCCCTCTAAGCCCACCAGAGGCCTCGCCTTGAACGAGCCTGCTCCTCCCGCCCTCAGGCCTCTGCACCTGCTGGTCCTTTTCCCTGCAATGTCCTTCCCCCGGCAAAGCAGGCCTCCCAGCACTCCAGCTCCCCGACAGCGTCTCTCAGCGCTCGGACTGTCCATCTGTGTCGACTGCCTCTCCCCTGCCAGAACATAAGCCCCTGAGACAGGGACCGCCCTCTCTCTCGCGCACCCTTCTCCTTGCACACACAAGCAGTCATTATTGAACCAACAGCTTTCGCCTGGTGCCAAACAGAAAAACCGCTTCCATCTACCGAGGGCTTACCATGTGCTAGACACTGCCCTAACCAGCCAGATATTGACACCATCTGAAGTACAGATGGTTGCGGTGGGCCAGGTCCCACTTCTCACTCAAGTCCTCACCTTACAGGTGAGAAAACTGAAGCTCAAGACTGCCTAAGGAATCCACCCCAGGCCACGCATCTCGGGGCACTAATGTGGGACTTGTGTCAGGGCTGACAACCACCACCCTTCACTGCCTTCCCTCCCGAAGCCAGGTGGACCTGAGCGGGGGAGGGGCCGCCCTGCCACGGGAGGCCAGAGGTCAGCCAAGATCCCAGGAGCCCCTACAGAGGCAGGAAGCAAACCCGTGGACACGCACTCACCCTTTTTTGAGCCTCCATCGAGGTCCTTCCCCTGGAGGGTAGAGACCGCCAGGGCCACGCTCTGCCCATAGACCTCAGCCCTCCCTGGGCCCTGCGCATGTCACCAAGGATGCGGGCCAAGGGGAACGCCCAGTAGGGGAGCAGGGGTCAGAGGAAGCCCATGATCAGCGGCCCTGCTCTTACCCCGACAGTCCAGGAGAACGGGGCTCTGACTGGGAATTAAAGGGGGCACAAGCTTGGAGCCCCCAGGTAGGCCTGGCAACACCGCACCCAACCACTCACAGCAGGAGGGCCCCTGCACAAAGGGGAGGGGTGAGTGTCTCCCCACCCTCCACTCTCACCAACAGCACCACACCAGCTCCCTACAGAGGTCTCACCCCAGCCTAGCCCAGCCTAGGTGAGCTCTCAGCCCAAACCAAACCTCCTTGCCCAACCTACCGCCCCGGGAGAGGAAGAGCAGAGACGAGAGGCGAGATGATGCATGAGCTCTCCCCAAACCCAGAGGTCCTGCCTCCTCTCTCGCCGGACAAGGTCCTGTTTCTGAACTGACCCTGTCCCTCGCCGCAGGGTGGGCCCCAGGGACCCACCACAGCAAGTGCAGCTCCTTCCTGCAGGCGGCCGCCGCGGCCAAGGTGGCCTGGAAAAGCTGGATCTGAAACTCGCCCGGGGGCCATGCTCAGGGGTGTGGGCGGCCGGGCTTCTGCTTAGAGACCATCCCTGAACCCTGCATCCTCCCTGAGTCAGAGAGAAAGGGCGTGCCCGAGGGTGAAAGGAGAAGCTAACGGGCAGGAAGCCTTCACCTTGCCTCAAGGGGAGCGGCCAGGCTGCAGAGGCCCCGGCTGGCCGCTGGACAGCGGACCTGGGGCCGCCGCGCCCACAGCCTCTCCAAAGCCACACGCCAGGGCTGCCAGGGAGGCACAGCCCACGTGCATGACCTCGGGGTAACCCCAGGGGCGAGCACTAGTAGAGGCCCCATTTTACAGAGGAAGAAAATGGGGCTCCGAGAGGTGAAGCCACTGCTCCGACCCATGATGAGTGTGTGAAGCGGAGATTCGCCCCAGAGTCCTGAGCCACACGGTGTAATGTAGGCAGCGTCCGCACAGCAGGGGCATCTGGGGGTGGGGGGGCGCAAGCTGAGACCACCGGCGGGGGCGCGGTAGGAAAATTTCCCACAGGCATATGCGACCTAAGCCCCCACTCCTCCGCCCACAACGTGGAGGCACGCCAGGGGCCAGTCGGGGGAGCAAATGGGCCCTGACACCCCAAAGCGCTCCAGAGTCTTCCTTGGAAAATAACGGGGCGCTGCAGCTGTTCCTGCCATGGCAAAGAAGGGGTGCGGCCGAGAGACGCTGGGGGAGCCCTGGCGAAAATCCACGGAGGCGCCTCGGGGTCCCAGGCGGCCTGCGAGCGGAGCCCGGGGAAGGTGAGGAGAGGTCCGGCGGGCGACACGGGCCGGAGCGCACGGGGGCCGCGAGGCGGGCAGGAAGGGCGCCCTCGGGGAGCGAGAGCTGGCCCGGGCAGGCGGACTGGAGGGGGCCCCCCAAGGAGGCCGGCAGCTCTGGGGGCCGCGCCGAGACAACCCCAGGGGCGCGGTCGAGCGGGGTTTCTAGGCAGGGCCGGGACGGTCGCGGACGCAGCCCCCACACGCCCCGGGCCGGCGCGGCGGCTTCGGGGATCCGCACGCAGAGGCCGGAGGCGGCTCCGAGAGGGGGCGGGGACGGCGTGCGCCGGGCACCGGGCACCGGGCGAGGGCCGGGGAGGTGGGGTGCGAGCGGCGGGGCGGGCGCCGGCGGCGCGAACTCACTCGAAGACGAAGAAGAGGACGGTGGTGGTGAGGATGAGCAGCAGCGTGAGCGCGAAGACTTCGTCTGTGTCCGTCAGCATGAGGCGGCTGCCGCCATTATATAGCGGTTGGCGGCC